TGTAGTCAGCCGCTGGTCAGTTTCAGCAGCGGCTGAATCTGGACGCCAGTTCCGACTGACATACAAATTCAACTAAAGAACAAACCTACAGTCCCTATCTCGTACGTAACCCAGGGACTGCCTGTATTAATTATACCGTTCTGTTTCAAGTAAAAAGGAAGGAGACAGCTGAAGTCCATTTTTTCCTTCTATATTTCTCAAGGCCCAAAGTGTTTCAGTGATTATTTGTGGACAATAAATAAACTTCCTGAATACATGGGGAACAGAAGGCACAGAAAGTGATTAAGCTTTTAGGGCCAGATTTTCCAAGCTGCTCAGCAGCCAGCAATTCCCACAGGAGCTCTGCATTTTTGAAGCTCTGATGATTAACACATGAGACAGATCAGGGAAGGGTGATACAGAATTGCTGTTTCTTTATAGATTTCATACACAATGGTGTCAAATAAGAAAATCAGGTCTATTCTGGAAAACATGCATGTTTTCACGTTTAGGCATGTTCTGAACTTCCAGTTGGGACATACATACATACTGAAGAAATGGGATTAGGCACCATGTTAAAAGTTTTCCTTAATTTGGGCCAGAGTCAGGGCCCTGTGTTTCCCTTTCTTTGGCCAATAACATTCTTGACCAGTCCCTGCCTCATGACTGGGTAAGCAGATTCCTTGCTACAGAATGGTATCAGCCACCAGCCAACATGTTCCTTCCTGCATGTAAATGCACCATTTGGGAGATTTGTTTGGATGCTGCTGATCAGCTGCAACATGTGATTAATATTGATTGTAATTATAGTTTAATGAGGTAAATGCACCCAAAGGCACAGACAATGGGCACATGAAATAAATATATATATAATAAGGCTATAATGGTGACTATCCATACTTCAGTTATCAGAATTGCCCTGTTATATTAAACTGGATTGTGTCCCCTGATGTCTATCACATTAAATGTTAACTGTAAGAAGCCATGATTTAAAAGTTGCAATTAATCCCTGTTGTACACAGCTCACTGAGGTTACAGTAAATAGATACAGGATCAATGTGATCTCAGGGAGTGCAGCAGCTAGACTAACATACCTGGAACTGTGAATTGGTGTGAGGAGAGATGTAAAATATACAAAATGGAGTGGATGGGTTGCTGCCTTTCCAAGTATGGCTGGTCAGGTAGAAGACACTACTGTAGCTGTTGTATATGCAACATTAGAGTATGTCACCCAAGAATGCAATTCAATCCCAAACTCATCATTTATTGAACTCTAAAGGGCTGGGCTGGATTAATAATAAGGGGCCTAATACTAATGGGAGAGAAGAGCCTAAGTATGAATTACATATTTCAAAAAATTATGAAGTCACCAAACATGTTTCTATATACACAGTTACATAAATTTAACATGTGTATTCTAGTTTCACTACCCTCAATTCTGCCCCTCCCCCCACACACACTTCAGCTGTGGCAAAGCCATGAATGATGTCATCACAGTTCAAAGCAGGGATATAAGTGACTAGTTGACTACCCAATAAGCCTAGGCTTATCAGGTAGTCGAGTCACTACTTGACTAGTCACTTCCCCCCTTTGCTGCCTCTATATCACAGGCAGCAAGAGGGGGCAGGAAGCAGGAGCTTATACCAGGGGGAGCTGTCTTAAAAGCTGGTTCCCCACAGCACCGTTTCCATGGAGTTTAGGGAAGGTAGAGATGCAGCAGGGAAAATGGCATGAGCTGGGATTAGAAGTCCCGGTTCATGCTAGGTCCCAGAAGCTATGCCTCTGCTTTTTAAATGTAGTAAAAGCCTGGCAGCTTGCTAGCCGCTATTTACCATCCCTAGTTCAAAGACCTGTCAGTTTCATTCTCAATGCTCAAGAAGGACAAAGCACTGAGATGCTCTTGAGTCATGATGGATGAGAGGACATTTTTTACCCTTGTTAGAAGAAAAAAGGAACGTTCTCCACTATAGTTAGTGATTATTAGTGACAAATACAGTGGTTGGGCAGTTTCAACTTTTGGGAAACATTCTGTCACAATGGATTCAGTGATAACTCGATACATTCAAATGGATAAGCTTTTGACATCTCTCTATATTTGAGAATGATATTAATCCAACAAATTGAAGAAAAATTTTAGTAAAATCTAACTGGGAGATCATCTGGGTACTACTGACACAGACATTGGATATGACACTAGACCATGTGTGGGGACTCTGGCTACCACCAGGTGGCTTTTTATTGATGTGGGAGCTAGAGAGCCAGAGGGATCCACTACAGTGTCCTGTCTGTAGCCAACAGCATAAATGCTTTTCCTCTGTATTCATTTGCTCTTCCACAATTAGAATAATAGAACAATAGGACTGGAAAGGACCGCTAGAGGTCGTCTAGTCCAGTCCCCTGCACTTTCAGCTTTCGAATGAGTAAGACAAAACAGAGCTACCCCCTCTTGTGTTCTCTGCCCTCTTAACAAAAAGACTTCATTGAAAATCAGCATCTCAAAAGAACCATCAGGTTTGGATGAGGTTGGTTTACTAAGCTGGTGTAGAATGAAGGATCAAGCAGATGGCAGTCAGGCCTTGTTTCTCCCCTCCCACTTTAGTGTTCACTGGGGAGGAAAGTGAATGAGATTCTACTTATCCAGGTGTGAAAAAGCAGAAGGGACCTAAATCTATTCTTGTGCAAAATCTGTTCTCCCAGACCCTGGCCTGGAGTCAATAAGGCTACAAGTGTAACTGTCCATAGGAATTGGCCTTTGGTCTCATTCCCTTCTCAAATCATAGTCACTCTATGCTTACTCAACGTTTTCCACTTGGAAAGAACCTAGTTTGAATTGGGGCATTTTTTGGAACGAGGTGATAAGAAGGAACTGCTCCCGGGATGCTCTGCTACAGGAGGTGGGCGCGCTCCCAGCTAGGCTCCTGGAGCTCTCCTGCAAGCTGCTGTGCTAAGCTGTGCTTTGTGGCACCCCACACCATGCTGTTCCCCATCCAACACTGTCAAGGAGTGAGCGGGGGCTCCTTCTAAGCCACAGGGGCTGCTTTGCCTTGTCTTTTTGCTGGCAAGAGTTCTTGGGCTCCAGCAGAGCTGTGTGAGCTCACATGGCCCAGCCCTGCCTCCTGACTGAACAGGAAGGCCTGAACCAGTAATGGGAAATCATTTTTTGCAGGGGGGCACTTTAAAAATTTTTGAAGGGGTGGGGCCAGGATGCTTCTAGGCTTCCCCACCCCCAGGCCCTTTTCCCCCCCCCCCC